TTATTTGAGGACAAATGTTTGGTTTCAATCACTGCTCAGTATATTTACCAGCTCTGCCACTCCTTTCTAATTAATTGGAAGGAGGTCTATGTTACATTAAATGGGGAAAAATCTGATATCCTATTTACTTGTAAGAAGATTCGACAAGTTGACCTACTTCATGCTAACTAATCTGAAAGGGAGCAAAATTATGCGAAAGCAAATCTAAATTCGTCTTTCGTTGCAATAAAAGGGCTAGTTGAGGCACTTTGTTATAATGTTTTTGAATGAAAGCCAAATCATTTGAGGTCCGATCTGCATTTTTATCCGTCTGTTAGAAAGTCGAGGAGTTAAGCCAATTCTTATCGACTATTCTAAAAGGGAGCTAAATTGCGCAAGAACAAATCGAAAACAGTATTCAATTCTCAAAAATCGCATGTATCTACCATCAGAGACTTGAATCATAGTGAACGCATTTGAAAAAATATATTCAGGACTGAGTGAAAGTGCGCACAGTTTACTGCATCATTACATTACCGTTTCTGATAATCAAAATTACATAAAAAATCTGTTACTGATGTCTGTTTATCTATAGCTCACATACACTACTATGCCTTGCTGCAACTTGATTGTGTACGTGTGAGAATAGATGCAAGAAGTGCGGGTACGTGCCTGACGACCGAGTGGTGACAATGTCAAAGACTACATATATGCCCGAGTCTGCTTTTGCGTTTGTGTGTTTTGTTTTTCATAATTAGGCATTCAGGTAAATTTAAGTTCCAAATGGATCCTGCAGATTTCTAAAACTCCACTGCGCTAAACTTAAAACATGAATTAAGCTTTCACTAATGCACGATTCGCGGTGAGAAAAAGCACATATTTTTGTTACACAATATAGAAGGCGAAAAAAGTCACTGTGATCCCTGTTGTGGCACACATCCTAAATTAATGAGCACTGGAAGAAGGGCTAACGATAGTATTAACACTGTTGTGGAAGGCGAAATTTCATTCTGGTGGCAGAAGGGGCTTGTGCCTAACTCATTCAGTTCCGCAGATCAATGCACATGCATGCATTTGCAATCAACAAACTTCCATCAATTTGAACATTCATACAGGGTGAAAATGGGGAAAGGCAGATTCCAAACACATTGAAGTCAAATTGGCGCTACCTTTGTGGGCATTTGAAAATATTCAGCAAGTGATTTCCTAATTAATGCATTGATTACTTAAGTTAGTAATACACTAGCTGCCGTCGAAGTCACTCAGTGTTAGGCGTAACTGGTGTTGAAATCTCCATCATAGTGATATGACTAAACACTTTAACACCTTTCTGAGTGCACAAGCAACTATCATATCAGGTTTGCAACACACAGTGAAGCCAAGTAAGCACACTTGAGATAGACAGTGTTACCCTAATATGATTATCGGAATTCACCCATGTGGCAAAATTAAGGTACCAGACAGAGCTTTCCGCACACCCAAAAATGTGGGTATGTGAAAAGCAAAGAGCTCATTGAAAATTGGAAAAAACAATATATGTAGAAATGTCAAAAGTATTTAATGCAGCTACCTTGGCATCAAAGCACCTACTCAAACCTATGGTCTTCCAGCCGACGTGTACGATTACAACAGCATTTCCTCAACTTCTCAGCCAAAAGTTAACACATTACCTTTTACGCGAATATGTAGAAGTGGGATTCTCATCAAAGGTGACTGATAATTGGACTAGTATAGGTATTTGAAATTCTATCAGAACTGGTACACTGAATTGTGTATTAGTATGGTGTAGGGAGCAACCTTTATGAATCCCCTTGTTCCTTTGATCCCAAATGTTTTAACGGCCCTTTTTTTCGTTTAGTGCCTTTAGCTAGCATCGATAAAGTTGCTACCCTATAATGGTTCCTTTTTGCTTTCAGTATGTATGCTGTCACTTGTCAATGGTGAGCTTTTTGTAAGTTGTGATAACGAGTTCATAGGGTTTGCATTGTCACAGTACTAAACGATGACTATGGTCTTATTAACTACCTAACTAATAGCACAGCCATTGATATTTAAAATGAGTGCTTTGTATGCACCTTCAAACTTGACTTCTTTGATGTTCACAATAAAACGGAGAGACCAAACTCATGAAGCACTATTAAACATTACAATATTTGGTTGCGGTATTCGATAGGGATCCGAATTAAACAATGCGGCAGAAAGTAACAACCTCAACTAGTACTGGGACGCAGTCATCATTGCAACCCTATCAATGAAAACGAAGATAACGGGATTGAGGCAGGAACTTAAAAGAATATTGCGTAAGTTGTTAAGTGCTAAAAGTACATTTTGCTGAGTAAGATTTATGTTAGGTAGTGGCTGAGCTTAAATTAATTTCGTTTATTTTCGCTTAGATGTGTAGTTACTTCGACTTCACATCTCATGAAATTAATTCGACGCGCAGACTGTAAGACACTTTTTGCAATTTAATTGTAACTCGTCCTGTAATTTACCCTCATGTTGAATTTCTCGTCAAGCGAAAACTTGTTGTCCATGTCATTCATGGAG